TCGCAGTTGAACAAAATTTTGGTGTGAATTAACTTAAGCCTATATGAACCGTCAGTACTTTTTCTTTACTTTAAAATACTGAATCTGTATTTGATATTATACAATGACGATTTGTCGAAAACTAAGTCCTTGACCAAAGTCTTATTTTCTTCAGACACCATTCTTAAATATAGTTTAAAGCAAGAATATATTCTTGAATTTTTGTGGATAATAATAATAAGCTCTTGTACCAAAAACACAAACAATGTTTTTAACGCGGCAAGTGTCACACACTCGGCAAATGTCAGGCGAAGCGCGAAAATAAGTATATCTCCATCTTTAGAAGTAAAGTTCCTGAATTAAGACAGCAAGACCTCAGAAATATTCTCAACACGTCCACCCAAGGCTGCAGTTTGCATAAATCTTTCTTTCCTAAACATCTGTCCAGTCAGTTTTTGTCCAATAAGGCTATTGACTATCAAGATTTATTATGGATTATGCATTATATCTGCCATATCATACCGCATTTATTGTTTAACTAATGCATATGAAAAATTAAACTAATTTAATATTCGCATTATTTTATAGAATTGATTATTTGTTATTTATAATTGTTGTTCTAAATATTCTGAATCATTGTAAGCATTTGAGCATTTGTAAGTGTAGTAAAATACCTGATTATTTGCTCCAGACTCAGTATTATTATCTGCGATTTTTGAATCTATTAGATGTAAAGTATATGGTTAGGAAATGGTTTTTATTGAAAAATGTGTTGTAAAATACCTCCAAAGACCACAAATGGTGAGCTGTCGAAGCTCAGATTTCTTGAACCAAACTCGCAACCAGCGACGTATCCACTTGGCTGCTCCGGCATATACAAAGCCCTATCCTGTTGGCGACGTCTTACTGGCCCCTCGTGACGCATCAAAAGGCTCTGCATTCCGCTCTGACGACGTAGCAAAACGTCATCTTCGAGCAGACTCATTTCCAACGACTGCTTCTGACGCATTTCCCATTCCAATCTAAGGCGCTCATTATCAGCTTCGCGCTTTCTTAGTTCTAGAATAAATATTTGTATATCAACGAAACCATCTGAACTATCAATTTAAGTTTACAAAATTAGAGTCTCTATAAACGGAGTTTTTACACTGAAAAGTTCGATTCGTTGAAGTAGTGCTACAAACTATTATCTTTAGTCAACTTGAACAAACTTTTAGCACTCGTAGAGGGTATTATAATTTGGTCATGAAATGCGAAGCGCATAAACAGCCGAGCCGATAAAGCTTTGCATGGGTACGTCATTCTGCTGCACGCAGTTCATATGCCGGAACCGGCTGAATTGGACTACCATATCATATAACTGCCATAGGATCGATCAGTCGAAAATGCTCCCTATATATATGCAAATTTCTATCAACATCGGACCACTATGTCATGGAACTTGGAAAGATCGGTCGAAAAGTAGGTTCTTGCATTGAAAACATTTTGTTTATTAAGATATCCCTACCAAATTATATAAACGAAACCGTATCATCATCGGACCACTATATTATATAGCTGCCATAGGAACAATCGGTCGAAAAGTAGGTTGTTTTGTGGTAAAAATGTCTGCTTCCCAACATATTCTAATCAGCATTGACTAGTTTCTCTATTCTCACATAGCTGCAAAAGGCAAATATCTATATGACGATATATAAAAATATTTGTCGTGCCAAAGATATCCTAAGCTTTATCTTGGGAATATGGCGGAAAACAAACACTAGATTTGTATAAATGTAAAAATAGTAACCTTGGCGCAAAAGCTGAGTCTCCCGCTCATAGCGAATAAACTCCAGCTGAGCTTCAAGCTTTTCTTCTTCCAACTTCATTTCACGCTTGAGAGCAGAGCGCTTGGCGCTGTATAGAGCATACAGCTCCTTCCATCTCGTGCCGTATTCGTGATCAAATGAATCGGGATCGGCGAAGCGCGGTCCAATGCTGCGAGCGTTGTTGAACTGGCTATTCTTGTTGAGAGCCTTTTCGGGCAATCCTTCTTCCGTCAGCTCTTTGGGCTCTACCACGCATGGACGCAACGCAGCAGTTAGGAAGAAGCATCTATCATGGCACATACGCAAGCAGATGTGGGCAGATGATCGTTTGGCAAACTCAACGACGCCCTCACCCGTGTGATTGCCACGATCGTCAACAATAATGAATGCTCGCTCGATAGGTCCAAATATCTCGAATGACTTATGTAGCAATTCGTTGGACACGTAGGGTGACAGGTTGGTAACACGCAACGCTGTAGCACTGGGAGCGAAACGGACGCGCAGATGACGGCCATTGACCAGGGCGCCATCCAAGGCACGTTTGGCTTTTTCAGCATTGACATGATAATCGACCTTAACGAATGCAAATTTTTTATCTGGACCCATGAATATATCGTCCAGTTCACCAAACGGCTTGAACAGTTCGCGCAAGCCCTCATCCCTTTGTAGATCATTAGTTAAATTGCCAACATACAGGCGATTGCGTCCTGAAAATTTAAGCTCCTCCTCTTGGACATCAATTGGAGCAAGGTCAATAGTCGGCCCATTTAGGCTGCGTAGCCGTTGTGCTATGAAATACTCGTCGCTCCGTTGAGAGTGATTGTTACCGCCGATTAAATAACGACCAACGCCACCGCCCCCGCCACCACTAGGACCATTACCATTGAAGCCTCCACCATAACCAGTTGCGCCATTGCCACCACCTCCGCGCGTTCCACGGTACTTGACACGTGGCTCGCCTTGACCGCCGGCGTTCCCGGCCACGCGAGCTCGGTACGATTTTGGCGGAGCTTCAAGTTCAGTTTCCGGTCGAGGTTGGTTGTTATCAGTATAATTATCTCCATCCATTATTATTTGTTCCTTTGATCGCTTTATAGCAACATCCTGTAGATGTAAAATAAGTAAAACTTTTGATCTTAGCATGCAGGTTAAATATATTTAACCCTAAACCCATTGCAAATAGCTAAAAAAAAATATATATTGGTTTTGTGCAAATTTATGCAACGAAGGATTTCTGCCCCATAAAGCATATCTGATCACAAATAGCACAAATAGCAGAGTCGATCTAGCCATCTTCTGTATATTCGCGTCGATCTCGAAATTCTCGAAATTTGAAATATAATTCCATTTCCAAAATAGCAATGAAAATAAAGACTTGGGCTTTTAAGGATGTCCTTTTATAGTATAGATATAGTACAGCCAATATATATTAACTGAGGGAAACAGGGGATTTTGTAAGCACACTCGGCTACAACGTTCCTACTTGTTCCTTTTTATGCTGCTTAACCGAGAGCTCGAGGCAATGCAAAGTCGTTTAGGGATTATCTTTATAGGGTTAGGAAAGGGATAGCATTTGCCGACTCTTCTTTGAATGGAAAAAAACCAGTCGAAAGAGTCAAAACAGATCTGCCCTCTCAGAAGCGCAACTACTACAGATGATATGGTAGTTATGCATGTTCTCAATGAAAGGACATCAAATATCAAATAACGATTTAAAATGAACACAAATTTTGACTATGCTTTCTCAAAATACTATATATACTTAGCTTAAAATAATATTTGAATATCCTCCTACCTGAATATAGGTATATTTAAGGCAGATAAACTATATACTTACATTATCCTTCTCCCAACGCTGTGAATTACCTTCACGACTGCGAATTCGTGGTTTTTTTGATGCTGGTGCAGGGCTGCCGGCTTCAATATTGGCTGGCTCTGCATTACGCTTGCCACTCTCATTAGTCTTAGTCTTAGTTGAGGGCACGTTTTCCAAATCATCCAAAATTATTGTAGACTCCATATTTAAAGCGAAAATACACAAAATTAAATAAATTTGCTCCAATTGAAGCTCCTCAACTGCTTTGTAGAACTCGACTGATGACTTCAGATGTCACAAGCTTTCAGCTAACAATGGCACGCCTACTATTGATGAAAATTTGCTTTATTAAACTTCATGGTTTCGATAAACGATAATATGATTTTAATTGATTGGAATTTGTGCTTTATCCTGATCAACTCTGAAATATTATCGATATCGACAGTCAGTTCTAACTTTAAAAACCGACCCTTCAAGAGGTTTCACTAATAAAATAATTTGAAAAAAGTGTTTTTTAGGATTACGGCTGAAGAAGAACGTTGCGGCCAAAACTAGTATTTTGATAAAAATAAATTTATTCCACTTTGTTGCCCATATACTTTCGATCATAAACAGTCGCTGATAAGGATTTGTATATTTTCGGGATTTACCTTCCTCTAGTGGGCGTGGCAAAATCATATCGTTCAACCATTTCTTTTATTAAGGAATATAACATTAAAATGAATAACTTTTTTACAAACATTAAAAACAATTTAATTATATTTCGCTATTTTATTATAAACACCATCCAAAGAGTAACTCGATGTGCCTTATGAATGCCAGAAAATTACCAGATTAAGCAATCAGAGTTAGGATAGGACTTTCTGAATTTATTACGGCATAAGTATGACTTGTGTGTTGACAGACATGATAGGGATTGCCTACATATCAAATTTATTGTGTACAGCTCCTATAAGGTCTGAGACATCCTTAGAACAGGATTTCGATATCGACTATTATCGATTAAATGGATAATAAGTTGGTATCAATGATTTAAACCAAGTCGTACTTGACTTTAATTTTAACGTTACCCACACACGGACAGACATGCGGTAGCACAGGCAATCAGATCGACTTGTTCTATACTCTATGGGGTCGGACATGCCTCCTTCTGCTTCTGACATACAACTGCACGGAACAACGATAGTATAAAACAATCTAAAATTCATCGTCAGTAATATCGTCATCGCAACATTTAATTACTCAGTTTTAAGAAATAAAATCCTTATAAAAAAAAAAACTAATTAAAACACATTATTTTCGCTGAGGAACTAACTCGATGACTTATCATTTTGATATTGGTAATAGATTCAAGTCAATTTTAAATTCTTTTACGGGCTGTCTAAATATCGCTCATCCCTATTTGAAATTCCTGTCAAAAATTCCGGCAGGTAAAAGAAAATTGCAACGAGAAGTTCTTAAGGCCATAAAGTCAACCATGCCTGTTATAAAATTTCTGACTTCCGATGATATAATTATTGAGACAGATGATCAAATAGCCCAGTGCTCAGACATAATTAGGGTAAGAAATTTGTAAAAAGTTTTCCCATGGAAAAGAATGTGTATTTGCAATATCATGAAAATGTAAGAGAATATCTGCCTTTTTAAGCCTTTACTGGTGTGCTGTACGGAAGAGGGTGATCCGCCAAAGCTGAAAGTGAGTGCAGCTATTTTGCGCAAAGTTTTAGAATGGGCCGAACATCACAAATATGATCCTGCAGGGGACACGCAGTGCATCAATGATCCCTGGGACACACAGTTTGTCAGTGTTGACCAATCCACACTTTTCGAACTGATCCAAGCTGCCAATTATTTGAATATCAAGGGGTTACTCACGCTCACCTGCAAGGCAGTGGCCAATATGATCACAGGCAAGACCCCGGATGAAATACGAAAGCTATTCGAAATAAAAACTAATTCCGCTCCCGCCGGAGAGTACTACGATTAATTTGTATTTTGCAAACTTGTGGTAGACATCTATGAAATGTTTGTCAGTGGCAGTGTATAGAATTCGATTCATTTATAAATAAAACAACTCGCCAGGAAGTTTTTATTATTTGAAAGCATCATGTCTGGGCTAAATCCATATAAGCATTTTCTAAATTTTATCTGTAAGCTGTCGCCGCACGGAAGGATTTGTGAGGCCCATTTGAGGGCAGAACATCCCGAGTGTTTCAGGCAAAAATCCAGAATATATGTACTATTGGAACTACCACAGAAAGCATGGAGGCATATATTCTCTGGAGATCGTTGTCATGATGGGCACTATTCACATCATTACGACTACTGTTCGCTTCATGATCACGATTCCTCTATTTTAAGCTGTGCGCTTAAAGTTCTAATAATACTTGCCGTCAGCATCGGAATTTTGTATGCCGTATTTAAGGTGACTGCACAAAGACGTGCTTCGCTTCAATAAACAGATGCAATGGAACCTGCTTATAACTTCAAATTTCTAGAATCAAAGGTATGGGAAAGAATATCAGAACATAAAGGGCAACCTTATATACAAGACTTCAGTAATATACTCGCAAATTACCAGTTCGTATTACTCTGTAATTATATCTGACAGTACAATATAATTTCAATTACTTCATATATATTATTTTTCCTTTTAACTAGTGGTAATCATAACTGGCGGCAGCTACCTTCCAATAATTAATTTGGTCAAGATATTTGTAGAAACAATAGTTTCCATACTATTTATGCATATGGCATACATATCAGATTCATATGGCTCTGGAAACTCGTCCGAAAAAAATTATATTACCATCTTTTTAATGCATGTTTCGAGAATGGGAAAAGAATCGTCGATAAACTGCATTGTGGACTAGGGTCAATGTTGGCGGCTTGCTTTTCGGCTTTTGCAGAAGAATTGTGAAATCAGTAAATTATACAATAATTAAGTGCAGAGGTATTAAATAAATTATAAAAGCCGTAGATTATCAAACGATTTATCTGATGCGTGTAATGCCAGGTAGCTTATATTATGTTTTTACACTAAAAAATTAACTTTCTATTATGTCGCGCTATATACGATATTTGGAGTCTGAAATTAGTAGTTTCAAAAAAGGTAACTATAGTGAAAAGGTGAAGTTTGTACGTCTTCGTGGTGGTCGGCACTCTTCGTGGCAAAAGGAGAATACTCGTTGCAATGGTATGAGTTAAATTTGACTCATTATATTGCTGGGAAAAGCGCGAGGAAGCTGCATTTAGGCCAGGCCGACACTATTTTAATTTGGTTAAAGCTCGGCACAGCGCAGCCAGCGGCATTTCAGTACACGGCAAAAGATTCAGTTCCTGCAACGGCTGCTGCTAGTGCTCCCACTGCTGCTACCACAATGTTCTCTGCTGTGTTGTCTGTTAACCGCAATAATTTATGCCTTTGAGCCGTGTTTGAGTCAAAGCCTTTGTATGATAGTGTGCCAGTGTCTGCATGCGTGTCTATGTGTCTGTGCCTGTGGCTGTGTTTGTGTCCGTGTGCGCATAATTTTGCCTATTAAAGTAAAACACTAACAACGCTTATCATTACCAACATCGCCCTGGCAGACGGCAACCACAGCAACAACAACAACAATTACGAACGCTGCGCTGCGTTGCGCATCCTTTCGTCGACGCCATTTTGTTTAGTTAATGCTCCGCGCGCGTGTGTGTGTGAGTGTGTGTGCATGTTTGTGTCTTCGCCTCGCACTTCCTAATACAAAAAAGCGACTTTTCAGCACAAATTTTTAGCAAAATTAAAATATTTATGTTGCCGACGTGCCTAATGCCGCGCGCTGCTGCCACCGACATTGCTGTCGCCGTTCTTGATACTCTGCCGCCACCTACTCCAGCGGATGCTGTTTAGTTTCTCTTGTGTGTGTGTGTGTGGGGGATGTATGCGTGCGTGTTCTTGATTGCGGGCAGCGTTGTCTATGTGGAGCTCAGCACACCCTTCTTTTGAGAAAGGTTGGCCATGATTTTGTATAAACAGTTTTGCTAATTTTTATTTAGGACTGGTTTGCATTCGAATTGAACCCATAACTAAGTTTCAGAGCCCAAAAAATAGTATGTGAAGTGGAAGTAGGACATCAGCAAGTCGGTGTCACATATAGAAAAAGTTACTTTTATTTTAATGCAGCCGTTAAACAAAAACCAATGTTTTGCTGAGAGTCCGCGCTCCTCGTGCCGCATTCGTCTCCCTAAAGGCAACAACATGATGCCGCCACTTACCATTTGCACTTAAACAATATCATTTTGCTGTACGTCCGTGGCGCAACTATGCAACTAGCTCACAACCGGACGTGCAACTTGCACTTCCCAGCAATTCTTTTGATGCTGCATATTATTATTAAATGAAATTTATTTGTTCCATAAACCGAACCTTTAACAATCATATGTGGTTAGATAAGCCTTTTAGTCTTTGTGTCAAGTTAACCTGTTAAAACTAAACTATTTGAAATGCAAGATAATAACTTTCTACAGACGCCCTCCCCAAATGGCTGTCAGCAGTACCAGTCATGAAGTTAATGATAAGGGTTCATTCTTGATCATAAACTTAAATCGACTCTCATGTTACGACCATATCTAATATGGCCAGATTGGTTTGGGCTTTTATCAAGCGAAGGCCGGGCACTACTGACCAGAGCTTTATTACTTGTTTAAATGCAAATGAAATGCATTTATTAAAGTGTCATTAGGGTCGCTGGAGGAAACCAAAAACAAGAAGAGAAGAGGAAGCGTGCTACGCAACAAAAGTAAATTAAGCATATTTCCTCAGGCCTTAGTTGGCCAAGTTTTTTGAGGCCTCCTTTATGACCTTTTTTTCTCCCTCTATGCCACGCCTTCTGGTGCACCGTGTGCGGTCTCTTTTTTATTTTTATCCATCCGACCGTCTGCTTCTTTTTAAAAACGTTAAAACGTTAAAATTTATGGCTATTTTGGGACTTACCGCAACTTCTGGCTCAAGCGGACTTAGATTTTAGTCCTTCTTTGGGACCTCGTACTTTGCGATACCCTCTGCCTACGCGTCTCAGCATTAAGCAAATGCTTTTAATTTTTATTTGACTCATTAACAATTTGAAAATAAGTAAAAACACTGCGTAGATAGTATCTAGTAGAAACTGATTTATCAGCCGAAAGAGTCCTCTTGATTAGTGCGCTTGCGACTTTAAGACTGTTAGCTCAAGCAAGGAATTTTAGGATCCTAGCTATGGATTTGACAATTTGTGTGTGGGTTAATTGAGGATGTCAACCTGCTTAATTTTGTGACCCTAGCCAAAACTGTGGAGGTTGATAATTTTGCCCACTTCCTTTAATACTTTTATCTGACAAATTTCAACACTTTCTATGTTGGCAAAATAAAAAATGTCCTCCAATTTTTTTACTTGAAATTTAAAACATAAACGTAAATGTACCCGAACTATCTGATTAACAAATGAGAAGAGTCTATTGCATTAATAGAAAAAGAGATGTATTTATAAAGATCTGAAAAAAAGTTGGAACTACAGTAAAATATTCCAGGTTACATTTTGGTCTGTGCGATCACCAATCAGTCACAATATGTTTGAGTTAAAGATTTACACAATTGCTCTCATTGAATTCTCAAATCTTCTCTAACGTCAGCAGCTTTTAATTGATTACTATTTGTAACTGTTTCAAATTGGCCTTATAAGGCAGGCTAGACTCTTTTTGGAAATAACAGTCATAAATCATCGCCAAGTTTTCAGTTCTTCTTACTAAGCAGTATCGTTATTCTTATCAGTATCGTATAGCTCTTGGCAATTTAACACTCGGGTGAGTTTAATTTAATTTTTCCGTATCTATGACACATGGCAAATGCATTGCGCATACGCCATGTAGTGCCGTCAGGAATGAAAAAGAAAACTGACAAGTAAAATTCAATTCGATAACAAATGAACTGTAAAACAGATGTTCATCTGTGAGTCCAGAGTATCAGAAATGTAAACTGAATTCCAAAAATATTTGTACACAAAGGGCAGACCAATTGAAATAATGCAGAAAAGCAATAGAGAAAAAAAAAAACGGAAATTAAGCAAATGGAAGGATGACTCTTACCAAGCGGAAATAACTGAAATATGCAATAGGAAATTCGCCAAAATCGAAGAAAAAAGTAAAATCAAAGCGAAAAATATTGTCGAACTGAAAGCTCTGTATGAATACAGCTCCTTTTCGCTTTGTTTTATTTGCATGGGCCACACGCTGCAGCTCAAATTTAAACAACTAAAAGCTTGTCTTGGCCAACACACATACATACACGTACACATGCACACAAACAGAACACACACACACACGCCCGATCAGTCAGACAGACAGGCATTCAATGCAAGTGCTGCACAAATTCCCAAACCTAAAACGTTAGGAGCAGCAACAAAATCCAAACGAAACCCAAAACCAAAACCAAAACCGAGCCAAGCCCCGTTTGCCATGCCGCGAATGATGGAGAGTGTTTTGTGTCGGTGTGGCTGCAACCGCATTTCGCACAAATATTGACCAATGTTTGGCTAAGGGACGCGCGGTAGGGCAGCTGCGGGGACAGGCGCAAAAACTAAACCGAACGCTGCGGCCATTAGATGATTTATAGGTCAGTTCGTAGGTTCCCAGTCCCTGTCACGACTCCACCTCAAAAAAAAAAAAAAAACAACAAAAACAAAGGCTAAAAGGAAAATGAAAACGAATTCGAACAACTGCTGCATCGATTGACAGATAGAGCATTGCAAGCAACTGTGAAGTTAATTTTTGCCCTGGACCGAAATTGTTGAACCCTCGGAGTTGGCTAGAAACGGGTTTTAATTTCGAGAGTCGTGTTCTGCAATTGAACACAACACTTTACAGACAGCAAGAGACCTTTGAGTTAACTCAAATTGCGTTAATGAAAAACGCTCAGAATTCTTACAGTGAAAACTCGATATGAAAGCCCATGCAACTTTGCAACAACTATGCCAAAGAAGCAAAAATATGTCAAGAGCTGTGTAAAATTGTAAAATATTATTGTATTCACTTTTAAGCCACATTACGATTAACTTCCAATTCACATTTCAATAAGTTAAACATGAATAATTAATCAATTTTATACCCGTCCGTTCGGGCACAATTTAAATCTACCCGCATCTTGAGGCTCTTGAACTGGATTAATAAGCTTTCGGTCAATAAACCTTTGACTGGCATTTTTAATTCAAATTGGGAGTGCAAAATGTGTGAAAAACGTATCAGAATAACTTTCATAAAGATCTTTGAAAATTATTTTAAAGCCGATCAGCTCAAAACATTAAATTTTATACAAATTCTTTTCAAAATCACAGTTTGTTATGTATTAATAATTTTTCTAAAACTATGGTCAAAACTGAAATGGAAACCGTTTAAACAATAACCATCATGTGGGGATCCATAAGTGAAACCCAAGTGCAGTCCAAGGACACAAACAATTCGTATTTGGGCCTGGTGTTAGCATAGCTAACTTAATTCGATTGTCGCTTGGGGACAAGGAATGGCAGCAGGTGTTGGCAGGATATAAATTCTAATCTGTTACAAGCTGGAAATAAAAAAACAGAATTGAAATTAAAAATTTGTGTTGATTGTGAAATTTGTGACACTTGCTGCGCAGTGGCGCAGTCCACCCCTTTACCTTCCTATCCCTATCCCTGCATCAATTTGCCAAATATTGTTGTTGTTGCTGTATGTCCTTGTATCACAAGCTGAGCTCGCTGTACCCATTGTTGGGCAGTGTCGTGTATGAATATTCGTGTTTCACTTGCTCGTTTATTTGCTTGCATTACAATTACCAAAGGAGCAAAGGACCCAAGCAGGACCCATATACACGTACGCAATTTGTTTGAACAGCACCTGGCCAAGAACTCGCCGAGTGTTGAGCTGTGTGGAATTGGATGGTGGAAGGGGTTGGACAGCAACTGTTGTTAGTTTGTTCTGTTACACAAACAAA